GCACCACTCACTGCACTTCCATCTATCTCTTACTGCATCTCTCACTGCATCTCTAACTGCTCCTGCATCTCTCACTGCACCTGCATCTATCTCTCACTGCATCTCTCACTGCATCTCTCACTGCTCCTGCATCTCTCACTGCTCCTGCACCTCTCACTGCTCCTGCATCTCTCACTGCACCTGCACCTCTCACTGCACCTTCACCTCTCACTGCATCTCTCACTGCACCTGCATCTCTCACTGCATCTCTCACTGCACCTGCATCTCTCACTGCACCTGCATCTCTCACTGCACCTGCATCTCACTGCACCTGCATCTCTCACTGCTCCTGCATCTTTCACTGCTCCTGCACCACTCACTGCACCTGCATCTCTCACTGCTCCTGCACCACTCACTGCACCTGCATCTATCTCTCACTGCATCTCTCACTGCATCTCTCACTGCACCTGCATCTCTCACTGCTCCTGCACCTCTCACTGCACCTGCATCTCTCACTGCATCTCTCACTGCACCTGCACCTCTCACTGCATCTCTCACTGCTCCTGCATCTCTCACTGCTCCTGCATCTCTCAATGCTCCTGCACCTCTCACTGCTCCTGCATCTCTCACTGCTCCTGCATCTCTCACTGCTCCTGCATCTCTCACTGCACCTGCATCTCTCACTGCTCCTGCATCTCTCACTGCACCTGCACCTTCACCTCTCACTGCTCCTGCATCTCTCACTGCTCCTGCACCTCTCACTGCTCCTGCATCTCTCACTGCACCTGCATCTCTCACTGCACCTGCATCTCTCACTGCTCCTGCATCTCTCACTGCACCTGCATCTCTCACTGCTCCTGCACCTCTCACTGCACCTGCATCTCTCACTGCACCTGCACCTCTCACTGCATCTCTCACTGCATCTCTCACTGCTCCTGCATCTCTCACTGCTCCTGCATCTCTCAATGCTCCTGCACCTCTCACTGCACCTGCATCTCTCACTGCTCCTGCATCTCTCACTGCTCCTGCATCTCTCACTGCACCTGCATCTCTCACTGCTCCTGCATCTCTCACTGCACCTGCATCTCTCACTGCTCCTGCATCTCTCACTGCTCCTGCATCTCTCACTGCACCTGCATCTCTCACTGCACCTGCATCTCTCACTGCACCTGCATCTCTCACTGCTCCTTTATCTCTCACTGCACCTGCATCTCTCACTGCTCCTGCATCTCTCACTGCTCCTGCATCTCTCACTGCACCTGCACCTTCACCTCTCACTGCTCCTGCATCTCTCACTTCTCCTGCACCTCTCACTGCTCCTGCACCACTCACTGCACCTGCATCTCTCACTGCACCTGCATCTCTCACTGCTCCTGCATCTCTCACTGCACCTGCATCTCTCACTGCTCCTGCACCTCTCACTGCACCTGCATCTCTCACTGCTCCTCTCACTGCACCTGCATCTCTCACTGCTCCTGCACCTCTCAGTGCACCTGCATCTCTCACTGCATCTCTAACTGGGACTGCTCCTCACCCTGGGCACCTTGCTCTTACTCTTCCTTGTCCAGACATTACAGTGTTTGTCTTTTTCTGTGTCTGTTTCCAAAGATGTCACTCCTCAAAGTCCTCATTTTACTGTATAAGTGTCAATGTAATAGAAAAAAATAACCCCTGCCACTGAGTCTAAGCCAGACTGGAATCAGCTGTGGTTGGCCCAATTTACCCAACATAAATAAGCTATGGGTCAATTATTCAGTTGTTTGTTTATTATCAGCTGAGATATATTGTTTTTGAACTGATATCATTGCAGAAGCAGAGGTTTTTATACTGTATCTAAGGTTTGGAATATTGTTTTTGCTGTTGTGGGATGGTGAGTGTTAACATTTGCAAAAACAATCCATAATTTTGTTGGGAGGTATAGCTTGTCTGTTACAGTTTTTTACAGTCGCTAGGACACATTTCTCAATACTTAGGTCACTTTTTCAAAACTCTTCACACAGTGAGCACAACAGAAGTATATGTGGGCTAAACTGTGGATCCTTTATCATTGCTTTGGCACAAAATGCATTCAATGACTACATCTTTCAAAATACATTAATTCTTTTCTCACTTCGACACAACAACCGCCAAAACTGTGTACCTACAGGTCAATTTGCACATGCTTACATACTGTTTTCAAAACTGTTAAACTTAAGTTCAAAACAATAACATAATACAAAACTGAATAAGACAGCATTTTGCCACATTTCTACAGTAATATTGTAATGAAATATATTCCAAATCTAAAAATTAAATGGTATAAAAACAATTGGACATTTGGACCAACCACAGCTGATTCCTATTGTATCTGAATAAGTGGATGGTGTGTATACAAATTTTTGTACTTTGGAATTACTCCAAAAACATAAAATATATAAAGTATTGAAGCATAGGCTACTGCATCATGTCTAATTCATTCTAGTAACATATATTGCAGTGATTTCTAAACAGTAGAGAGGTAGAAGAAAGAAGGCATTTACTAAGGAAAACATTGTATAAAGTTTCCTGTTGTTAGTGTTTTTTAGGTCATTGTTTTGTGGGTGACAAAGTGTGTTTGTTGGCTGTCAACCTTTGCTAGTGTTATGGAAGAATGTGTTGATTTGAGACATACGAAGCGATTCTGTAGTTTTAGTCCATTTTGAATGTGAAATGAACTGCTGTGCCAAGCTGAAAGTTGGTTAGGAGAACTGTGTGAAGAGTTTTGAAAAAGTGACCCAAGTATTGAGAAATGTGTCCTAGCGACTGTAAGAAAATGTAAGCACTGTGGAAATGTGTTCACTGACTGCATATTGTGTGAAAACGACATGAAATGTGTGAAAACGACATGAAATGTGTGAATGGTATGGCCACAAAAAACCGATGCTGTGCTAATTGTGTTTAGAGTATGTGACAACTGGTTTGACAAACGCTTGTTAGCGACTGAAAAAACCTGTAAGTTGTCTGCAACAATCATGCCTCAAATTTGTTTGAAATTTTTTATTAATTTTGAGTATTTATTTAAATAAAAATAAATAAAATATTAGTTTGTGTATCAATATTAGTCATAAATGTTCCAAATTTAGCTGTAATTTTGTAGCAAGATGCAGCACAATAAACTCTTAAAAATAAAGGGTCCAAAAATGTTGGCAGCGATGCCATAGAAGAACCTTTCAGTGAATATTTCTTAAAAGAACTGTTTTCTTTATAGTGGAAAAATGTTCTTCATTCTAAAAAGAACTTTTCCTGCATTGAAAAAGTTCCATACATGTGAAAGGTTTTTCATGGAACCGTTAATGCCAACAAAGAACCTTTATTTTTAGTCATGGAACTGTTAATGCCAACAAAGAACCTTTATTTTTAAGTGTATAGCGATGCACAAACAGATGAATAATGTAATGTAATAAGAAAAAAACTCCCGGTTTAGAGTGAGACATCTGAACACACAAACGATGTTGATGTGGTCACACCCTGAGTTTGTTGTTAATATTTCAATTAACAAAAAAAATGGCAGCTTTGTAATTCACCACTAAAAAATAAAATCACAAATAAAAACCCACCATGGTCAGAACACACACAAAACAGAAATCTTTATTAAACATTACTCTTATCATCCAGGGACCTGACACAACAGAAAATTTTTTGTGCGTTTGACTGTATAACAACTGTTAAAGCAGAACAGGGTTTGTGCTGTACGTCATGTAGATCTCTGTTTGTCATCCTTTGAGTGAGAAAAGAGGCCCGTCGCGCTCTGACGCAGCATGGCTCAATAGTGATGAACCTTTGGGCAGCGACTAAATGCAGAATCAAATGAAATGGACAGTACTGAGCAACTGGAAGAGGCGTGTGATTTTCACAACAGGTAGATAGAAGTGAATAGACTCAAGCTCTGTGCATAGTTGCAGTGAAACAGTTCACACCCCACTCTCAGATTAACTTGTTAAAGAGGAAATCATTTCGGCCCACAGCACTAGCCATAAGTTCATGCGACGGGTTTAGCAGAAGTGATGCAGAGGCAGAGCTGTTGTAAACTGGTACAATAATGATATGCTGACACTGATCCGCCATAACTGGATCACATGGAGAGACGCGGTTTCATTTTATTGGTCCATTTCATCTTATGTTTTTATTCAAAGTTGAATTTTATCCAAAATTGAAAATTGTGTCATTCACTCATCCTTATGTTGTTCCAAACCTGTGTGAATTTCTTTCTTGTGTAGAACTCAAAGATATTTTGAAGAATGAATCATCTTTGTTTATATGATAGTCAAATGGAGATCAAATCCACATTGGACCCCATTGACTTTCATAGTATGGAGAAAAAAAAAAAAGAGTAGTAGTTTCAAATATCTAAGCTTGGAACAAAATGAGGTTGAGCAAAATACATTTTATTTTAGTTTGGACGGTGTCTAAAAACCAAATAGTTTTCACTTTTGGCAATAAAAACAACTAAAACGAAAGAATAATCTTTTAGAAATGATCGCGCCAATACAAGAATGTCTTATTTTAATATAGAATTTCTAGACAACTAAGCTCATAATTGTGAATTCAGTCCTTGTTTGATATTTTTTTTAGGCCTAATAAAGTTTCAGATACAGGGACAGATGTGTACACGCATCAGTGAATGCTAGCGGTCTCATGAATCCAGATGTCTGGCAGGGATCAGTGCGTTACAGAGGCAGAGTTGTTTGTGAGCATTACTTAAAGTGATTGTCACACAGAGGCAGTGTTGTTGTTGACAAGTGTTCAATGATTGTTGCAGGAGAGCAGAGGCAGTGATGTTGTAAGGTACAGAGGACGCGACGGTGCAAGCATCTCAGCACATGTGACGGATGATTAGAAACACAAACCTACCACTAACATGGCTTCCAAATTGAGATGCAGGAAAAAAGGAAAAAACTTCCGTGTGAAATGCTCAGTTACAACATTCTCAATACTTGTGAAACGATGTGGTGGTTTTCACATGAGCGTCTAGCTGCAAATACATCTCGTGTTCTTTGTGAGTCTTCATGTTTGGAAATCTCCTTTTTTATTTTATAAGCTGCTAATACTGTGTAGAAGGGGGTATCTGTGTCTTTCCACAGTTGACAATTTAAAAGTAAATTAAGAAACAATATTAAAAAGCTACAGGAAGGCATTTACTGCTCCTTTTAAAACAGATCTCATACACATCTTTCAAACACAAGCTGCTTGTTTACATACTTCATTTCATTGCCACGAACTGCCAAGTTGATCATTCTGATGAAGTCTAATATAGCTCCAAATCATCTGGACAAAATTGCATTTTAACCTCATCGTACTTCACGTCTTGAAGTACACGCATCATTTTCAGTGCTAGTGCGACGTGCCCTTGAGCATGATGTGAATCTTGGAGTGAGCGCAACAGTGGGTCGACCATAATCGTGTTCAACTCTTGAGAAAAGTGAGAGAAAAGATAAGAATTGTTCTGCATTCCACCTAAGACAAAAAATTCAAATCTCATATTTCTGTCAATATAGATTTCATATATTCATATATCTTTTGTAAGAAAACAAAGAAACAGAATCAAAACAGCTGGAAAGTTCAAAATGTCCCTGACTTATGGACATTTGACGTCCTAATGTCCTTTAGCTTGCGTTAAGGGATTGAAGTTTATAAAATAACGTCACAGGCCGAGAGAGCGCATCCCTCAGACGAGTCCTTCACAGTCTGTGTGATGGGAGCAGAGCCGGGAAGACACAGTAAAGAGCTGCTTCTGCACACACAGGGCATTTGTTCTGCTGTCGTCTTGAACCACCGCCACATAAAAAGCTTGTCACTGAATCACTAGTGGGTTTAAATGACGGTGTGAGTTTTGATCAGGCTCGGCCTGTGTGTAACTCAATTGGTCTTCAGCTAATAAAAGCCAGCCAGATTTACGGTTCAATTCGGGTCCGGTCACCCCGGATCAAAGTCTACCGGAATTCAGGTCTCTGGCTCTGGTCTGCTGTGGCTTGTTTCTGGTTCCGTACGGAGCCCTGTCTGGAGGTGAGAGTCAGGGGGAGTGAGCTGAGGGGCTGCTGTGTGCCGAGCTGGGAGACAGACTGGGGCTGCAGCTTCCTGGTGGTGCTCCTCCTCCTCCTCCTCTCGCCCCACTGCCTCCTTCCAGGCCCTCCGAATTCTCCAGCATCTCCTGAATGAGTGGAGGCATGGAGCCAGGGATCTCCATTTTCAGCGTTATTACCCGTTCCGCTCCTGATTGAGAAACAAGACGTTAGATTGGATTCTGGCTGATCACGCTTGATCTTCAAAGAGTGACAGTGAATCTAACCTTTAGCGCTGATGCTCCTGAGGTCTGTGATCTTCATCAGCATCTTGGGGAACATGTGTGGTTTGTGAGGTCTCCTCTTCCTCACGTAGATCTTTAGGGCCTCCAGCAGCGGCTCCTGAAGCACATCTACCTTATCCGACTGCTCCAGATCCTGCCGATCTGAGCGCAAGTGCACATCAGTTTTAAACAGCTAACCAAGAATCACACAAGCAGGAAATATAATGTTTTTGTAGACACCAATATATATATAAAAAAATTAGTGCTGGGCAACGATTAAAAAATTTAATCGCGATTAATCGCACGATTTTCTTGCGATTAATCGCATTGTTACGCGCAAAATTGAATAATGAATTCTAGTAGTGTATTGCGCACTTTTGATTTAAATGTACTGCTACAAAAGTGCAATAACATGTGGTTTGCAAAAACTTTAAACAAATAAGGTGCTTTTATACCAGCAGTATTCCCTTTACACAGTATCAATAAAATATTTCTTGTAAATCTCAACTTAAACATTAATGTAATCAAATCAAATATTTAACCCTCTGGGCTTCTTTGTTTAGGGGTTACACTTGGCTTCCTTTCGGTCAAAAAAGACCGAAGCCTTAAAAAGTAACTTTTTTCCCCCCCAGGAAAACCATTCAAATATATTTTTGTTCAATAATATTTTCTTATTATTATTAAGAATTTTTAAAGATTTTTATGATACTTTGCATTATTTATATAATTTTTACGAGCTATTTTTTCCATTAGAATTTGTTTTATTTTTTTATTATTATAATAAAAAATTTTTTTTTTCAAAAAACTCAACGTGGCACATTAAAATATAATGCTGGCAGCAGGCAAAAAAAAATTCAAGTGAGAATACCGCCATCCAGTGGCTTTAAAAATGTTTTAAAGTGTGTAATGTCCGTAACCGCCTGTAGGCTGCCCATAGCTTCCTATGTAAATAGATAGAAATGCTTTTTGATTCCTATTGCTGTTTTAGACATGATTTCTCTTTCTTATTCGTTTTTTTTTATTTAGATATATTTAGATATGCTAAAAGACAACTTTTTTTATTTTTTTATTTTTTGTTTAGATAAGTAAAAATGTATAAATGTGTGTAATGTCCGTAACCGCCTGTAGGCTTCCTATATAAATACATAGAAAGGCTTTTTGATTCATATTGTTGTTTTAGACATGATGAGGTGTGTGTGTGTGTGCATTTGAGCAAGAAAGAGTAGCCTATCTTTTGTACTTTATTTTAAATTTTGATTTTATTTAGCATTTTCTCAACATTTGCTGTTACAGTCTTTCCTATTCATTTCTCTCTGTGTGTGTGTGTGTTTGTGTGCGTGGGTGTGTGTGTGGGGGGGGGGAGGTGTCTTATTTGCACTCTTGATGTTTTAGAGTGTCACCCCTTCATTCCTGTACACTTTTTTTCTGCACAGTGGCTGATCTGTAGTTTGTACCACCAAAAGTTTCTCTGAGTTTTCCTATTTTTTTCGTATTTCCCATTCATTTCCTATGTCGGTCATTTTTGACCGAAAGGAAGCTAAGTGTGACTATTTTTTTTAAGACCCTTTAACATATCCGAATCATCTCCTTGATTTTTGTGTGTGTTCACATAGGTAATACAACAAAAGTCACCAAGTTTCATCCCCCTCCGATGAAGCAAAAAAATTAAACATTTCAAAACGTATACTGTTTCGGTCATTTTTGACCGAAGAAGCCCAGAGGGTTAAACAAAGCTATTTGCCACTGCCAGGGCATTACCTTTTATCTAGCTTGTTAAAACGAGTCCAGTTTTCTTGTTTTTTTTTTCTGAACAGGTATCTTGTATCAGGGAGCAGCAGAAACAGTCTATGTAGTCAAAGGGTCATGATGACTACTACAGATATAAGTCGACCAACGTTACTCCTCTGATAGCAGCTTAGGTTTGGTCATGGCATGCCATGGTTTCCCACGTAAGATTACATTAAACAGAGGTAAAGCCCAATTTATACTTCTGCATCGAACTCACGCCGTAGCGCGCGTACCCTGACGTGCATCTCTCCAAAAATGTAACGTCAATTCTACGCGTACCGCAAGCGCTGTGATTGCTAGAACCGCTCCCCGGGTTTCACACTCTCCCTCATGTGTAATTGCGCGTCAACGCGGACAACGACGCAGATATATAAATGAAAACCAACGCGTTGTCTATAGCGTAGAGGCTCCGGCTTAAGTCCGACGCAGAAGTATAAATCAGCCTAGAGTGAGGTGAAGTGGTCGAGCAGGTGCAGCGACAAGCGGGTGCGTTCCTGTGAAACTGTTGCGGTCATGCTCGCCTCACGCACGCGCCCGCGCGTTGCCGAAGTTGAATTGTCTAACTTTTTTGTACACGACGCGCAGCACAAATCATTGGAAGAGAGACTGATCCTCGGCTCGCTGTTTGTGAGTTTCCAGAATCTAAATAGTTATCAGGACATCAACAGGAGGGAATTCACATGGCAGAGCATCCCCGCTAAACTAAACGCAGGCCTATCAGGTAAAGTTATGTATAATTTTTATTTAAGTTAAGAAGGCTACAGCTGCGTAGCGCACAGAAGCCGGTGCCATGGTTACTATCCATAGAGCGCCTGTCATTCACTCGCGGAGCGCTGTCTCCCTTTCTGTTCACCTGAGAGAACCTGCCAAAGCCTTTCCACTGCTTGTTTGGGTGGGTTATTTGCTGGCTGACCAACATCCCACCCCTCCTGTGATCATGGTTTGACTGTAGGCCTATGTGTATTCAGAGGCAGTTTGCAACGGACTTTCAAAATAATAATAAAAAAAACCTCAGCGTTAACGCGCGATAAAAAAATTGTCGGCATTAATACAAAATGCGTTAACGCGATAATAACGCGTTAACTTGCCCAGCACTAAAAAAAATCTAAATAAACACATTTGAGGAGATGGCACAAAAAAACTATTTCGTGAGTTTTAGAGACTCGATGTTGAAATTATATTATTCAAACAGTCATGTCTAAATGGGGGAAAAAAATAAATGTATTAGATAATTACAGCTGCTAACTAATAAATGGCAGATAAATCTATAAAACAAACTTAAAAAAAAGAAGAAAAGTCCGATATTAAATAGAAACAACAACGAAAAAAGCCAATATTGGCTGACAACAGTTTTGGGGGCAATTTATATATTTATTTATTTTTAACACAGAAATTACCATTTGTTTTGTTTAAATAAATAGAAATTAGAATTGCAGATAAATCTAGAATAATCAATTTTTTTTGGTTTTGTAAATAAATAGTCCAATATTAAATCAGAACAAACAAACAAAAACAAAAAAGCCAATATTGTCTGACAACCTTTATGAGGCAAATATACTGTGCATCCATAGCTGTAAGTTCCTCTTATTTACTGTAGTTTAATTTAAGCTTTTACACTTTGTATACAAGTAAAGTAAAAGTACCAGGGAATGGCTAAATACAACCACAATACACAATAAAAACACAGCTAATAAGCTGTATAAGTCAATGTTATGTGATTTCTGACTGCATGGAAAACTCACGACAACATTCACAGACCAAAATATGTTAAAAAGTGTATCTAATCTGGTTGAAAAAAATCTGCAGTACCTCCACACAGCAGACAGATGGCACTGAGAAGCCCAGTCTCTGCATCATCCATCTCCAGAGGCAGGAGCTGGTTGGCGAAAGCGAATACCAGATCTGTCAGTGGACCGAAGCCGGCGTTGTGCATCTGCGTGCGATTCAGTGTCAGACCATCTGAAAATGTCATGGTGTCCTGATCCGGTGTGTAGCGTGTACATATTCGCAGAATCTGAGGAAGCAATTTAAGACACACAGATGAGCGCTCAACCTACACCACTGCAAATGTGTAGAACTATTCAAGCACTTTACATAAGGTGTGAGAACACACTCTGGACACAAGAACACGTCTCACCAGGATGTCGAGACAGGCGGCCTTTAAGAGAGTGATCTGATCTGCGATAGTGAGCGTGGTGAAGCCGGGCAGCTGCTTGGCAAACTCGACCGTTTTAATGATGCATTTGGTAGACAGTTCGCTGAACTTGTCCCACAGGTCAACATCCAGAGCGACCCTCTGGTCTGAACTGTTGTTCTGCTCAAGAACAAGACAGAGACCATGTTTAGTTGGTTTAATAACTGAGATCGTGATTCATTTCCCACAACTCCCTCCGGTTAAGGACGTCACCATTAAGAGCTGCTCTGCCTCAGACTTACCGTGGTGTATTTGCCAAGCTGACAGAGGGAGGGGAAGGTTTCCTGATGGGCCTTCCTCACCCGCTCGATCATCTGCTCTGTATCAGGACTTAAGACGTAACTCTCTGAACACTCCTGCTTCTTCTCATCCTTCTTCCTCTTGTTCCGGTCGTTTCGAACCGCTGCATAGACAAATGAAAACAGTATTGAAACCACCTGGTATACCACTCCAATATATATCATACATAAACACATCGTTAGCCTCATAGCATAATCGCCTAAGTCATTTTGTGTTTTTTTCTTGTTTTCCAAAGACATTGAAATATGACTTAGGCAATTATGCTATGAGGCTAACTGTGGATGTGGATTATGCTTTATATCTAAAGTGGCAAATGATAATAATAAATAATATAATAATAAACATATGACAACATCTGCCACAAGATGGCAGTAAAATCCAGTGTTTATTTTCTCTGCCTGATGAAAACAGCTCATCGTGCATAGTTAAACCTCTTTCAGAACCACATTCTTCTTGTGATTCAATCATTTTGGCAGCTAATTTACTTCGAAACAACAATGAATAAAAGAGGAGGAGATGGATTAAGTGGGAGACCAAGAGGACCTATATGGGGATATAAATATGTAGGAAAGGAACAGGGATATAGAAATACATTCCTTGCAGTATTTCCAGAGAGAAAGAGTGAGCTGAATGAGAACTGAGTGCTTTGATGTGACAGTTCAAAAAAAGCTTTAGGTAAGAGAGTCTCAATTGCTAAACAAGCAGAAAAAGAGGACAAATTCATAGGATATTACTCTCAGAGCTCTTCCCATCTCTTTGTGACACTGGAAACGTGTATACAGTGGTATACCTGCCTTAAAATACTGAGTAAATAGCACAATAATAGAGAAGAGATACACACTGTGAACGCAGGCATTATACATGCATCCAATATACATCTGCATTAACACACACAACTGTTTGGTTGAAAGACACCGTTTAAAGGGAACCACAATACCATTCAAAGGTTAAAGGTTCAGTAAGGTTTAAAAAAAGAAAATTAAAATAAATGAATGCTTTTATTCAGCTAGGACACATTAAATTGCTCATTAGTGACTGTAAAGACATTATAATGTTACAAAATAGTTTTATTTTGAATAAATGCTCTATTCATAAAAAAAAAATTCATCACCGTTTCCACAAAAATATTAACATTTTAACACACAAAAAAATTGCTTCTTGATCACCAAGTCAGTATATTAGAATGATTTCTGAAGGCTCATTTGACACTGAAAATTAAGCTTTACCATCACAGAAATGAATTAAATTTTAAAATGTTACAATAGAAAACACTTATTTGAAATTGTAATAATATTCCACAATATATTTTTGATCGAATAAAGTTATCAAAGATGAAGTGTCATTTCTGCACCGCTATAGTGTCCCACTGGTGCTACTGATTGGTCAAATCTAGTCTCACCTCAATCTCATGCCATTGGTTAAACCAACTTAGGATAGTATCTCAGTTTTTACAATTTTCAAGGAAATAAACCTCTTGTTTACTTAGTTGTTTCTGCACATTAGACTTGAAAAAGAAAATGACATTGAAGAACGGCAAACTTCATTGTAAAAAATAATCAATGTAAGATTGTGCACGTAAACGCACTCATTGTGTTTCATTCCACACACACACACACACACACACAGATGTGCTGATGGTGTGCAGTGATGAGAAATAAATGTTGGTGGTAGTTAATAACTGTGACAAACGACCTCTGCTTTCACTAAAATCCAACCTAATCTAATCATGTCACATGACAAATATCAGGCTGCTTTAAACGGGCTCTCCCTCTGCGCCTGCATTCCTCCCTCCTTCCCTCTCTCTGTTTTCCTGGAACCTCACAATCTTTCTCTTTTCTTGTACTCAGAGCCTCAATCACTCCTTTATCTCATGTTTTTTTTGTGCTGTTTTTGGTTAGGACTCCTTCCTTTGTCTAAAGATAACTCAGTGGCTCTTCTTCTCCCTCCTCCACAGGCACACTGGGGGAGCGAGAGAGCGAGCGAGAGGGGTGGTTAAGGATGATTCTCACTCACTTCTCCCCACAGCCACATATTCATTTCTCCAGAGGGAGCTGGGTGCCAGCGTGGGCTCAGAAAACACAATCTAATGGAGCCATTAAAGAACTATTAACGCAGGGAGGTAATCTTTCACGACACGACATGTGCGAAAAGACGAAACCTGCTTGCAAACAACTTTATGATGACAAGAGCGCACCATCATATCTGGGCGGAAAAAAATGAAATATGTAAATCTAGGGCAGAGATTTCATTTTGCTCTGACTGAAACAGCAAACTACATTTCAGTACCGCACAGAAAGAGTGTACATTTTATCATGCTAATAACAGAACAAAAGTACATATAAACCCACATTTTTTTCTTAAAGGCAAAAGCGAAAGCAACTAAATCCAACTAAAAGGTCAATTAAAAGTCCCATTGTGACAAATATATCAGAAAAACAATAATAATAATAAGCTACTGTACGACTGACTATATTTTTAAACCTCACTTTATATTAACTTTAGTTGATATTAGCTTTGATATATTAGCTTTAGTTGATACTCATCATCATGATAATTATTTATTGTCCTAGCACAAATGCACAAGGACATGACTAACAAGACAGCAAACCTCTTTATATGCTTGTACACAAGCCTGTCATACAAACATACTTTTAACATCACTATGAAATATGACAAAAGACAATCACAAATGTGTTTCAATAATGCTAGAAAATCATTTCAGCATCATTACTACTACAGTTTTCAGGGTCACATGATCCTTCAAAAATCATTGCTTATTTGCTACTCAAATGTTGAAAACAAAACCCCCAAACTTCTGAATGGCAATGTACATCTTGGATAGTAGATTATATATAAATTTACCCTACATTAGATACCACAGTCCCTTGAGAGTATCAGGCACTAGGATATAATGTATCACAATGTGTAATGTACACATATAATAAACAACAATAAAAGAGACCTGAGGAAAGGGGGTCCATGGACATATTCATCTAACAGTACTGTAATGGTGGGAACGTAAACATTTCCCAGATAATATTTTACACACACTTTTTACAGTTTAAATGGGTCTTTACACATGAAAATGTATACAGGGGCCTTTATATTTAGGAAGCGTCTCTCACAAAGGGACAATCATGGAATCGTGGTTTCCATGATTATTGGATTTTTAGTAAATGTATTATAGTAACAAAGACACTTACATTCTTTAGACATGCCTACTTCCAGGCACTTCTGCAGTCGGCAGTACTGGCAGCGGTTTCGCGTGACCTTGTTGATGATACAGCTCTTCTCTCTGTGGCAGGTGTACACCATGTTCTTCTGAATACTCCTTCGAAAAAAGCCCTGAGGAGATAAGCAAGAACGCCGGTTTACTATAGCTGGAAGATTTACAAATGATACATGCAAGCAAATTAACACCAACCCCAGGAACCTCAGAAAGACCGAGGCGGAACAGTTATATAAAGTCACTAATGATTCACCAGATATTCATATATTCACATTATGCGCTATACACAAACATAAACAACCCCGGCATAGATGCAGCTCTCACACACACACCTTGACAATGGCAGACTGAGCTTGGTTTAGATTTGGTAGTATTATGGCTGCTGGGTATTATCTTCCAGTTCAAGTGCCCAGAGGTTCCCATTGGCTAATACCCAGCAGAGCTTAACCCACATAGACTCAAGTGGAGGGATGCAAATCAGAGCTTCACATTATTCTTCTGATCTTAATTACTGCTTGGTCAGACTCCCGAGGACAGAAAGTCAGACTGAGGTCATGGACGGACACAGCAAAAGCAGGAAAGATGCAGCTGAAGCCACATACGAGAGAGCAGATGTCAAACAGTGACTGTGTAGGCTTGTGAAAGGGCTTTCAGCTGCTGTGCTGCAACCACGGCTCTCTGGCAGAGGATTAAACCGTGAAAGCTTCACTCGTGACCGCCACTGGGCACGTGGGTATTAGTGGCACTCTGTGCAAGATTCACTGACTGAGCCGAGCATGAACAGTATGTGGGCTCAATGCTTCATCGGGGCTCCATAAGAGAAATAAGAGTCACTCTTTCATACTGCAGATTTATACCAGACAAACAGGGTGAAAACATTTTATAACACAGATTGTTTCTGATATAAAATACAATTGGATAAGCCACATTCACACGTTAATAGGGGTACATAATACTAAAATTATAGCTGATACCAATGAGCTGATTATTTCAATCTTCAAACGATGGCTGACAACTGATAAATGGACACCATTAAAATGCTATTTTAAGAAAAAATGCTATTTAGAAAAATATTATACATAGATTGCTAAAAGTTCTCTTTATATTATTTTTATAAAGATAAACTTTAAATAGGCGTTAAATGACAGGTAATCTAAATGTAAAAACAGGGAAAATGAGTATGCAGAATCATATCCAAAATTTGACAATTAATAATATTGTGATATATAAGTGTATATAAGCTATACATTGTGATATGTCTGTTTATTAAGAATAAGTGTTGATATTATCTATGCATGAACTGTATTCATCAGAGTATGCATTCTATATGCTACAGTTTTCAAAGCAAGCCTACAGCAAAACATCCTCCCTCTCTGGTTTAAAAACAATAATCCCCAAGGCTTTTAGTGGAAAAGCCTTCAACATATCAGTCAGGGCACCCAGGGAAGCTTTTAGTGTGTGTGTGCGCTTTTGACAGGTCTGTCCAGTGGCTGCCATCTAAAAACACTCATGTCATTTCAGTAGAAGCGTGTGTCCAAGGACATGTCCCGCATGCTGAAAGGACGTGTCCCTCTCACACTCGGTCTCGGCTATGAAAAAGTAATAAAGGAAAAGGTGAGCATGGCAGATGTGTGACAGAACGTGTGCTCGAGTGAACGAACCGAAATGGTTTTCTAATGCGCTGCCCAGAGGCCTGAACTCCCTACATAGGAGCTCTCCTTCATTGGCCATGTTTTATTCATGCCAGCTCTAATCTTCTAGAGGTCATTGTTGGAGGTCATTGTGGTAGATGCAGATGAAACGCTTCAATCTGAACCAGTATCGGCAAGTCAGATGCTACTGTAGCACACTGTATGAAGTTGTATGCTGCTTCTTGCACCTTTTCTTTCACAGTAAAACCATTTAAATTTAGCTGTACATTAAAAAATATGAGTTTGAATTTCAAAACTAGACCACTCACATAATAAAATACTGATCACAATCAGTAAAAAAAATCAGCACAATTAAAGCATAAGAGCTCTACACTTTCTCACAAAACAGGTTTAGATCAATAGCAGCCAAATGTTCCATTGATTCTGGCCGACGGTACCCTTTGCATAAGTGACTGCTGTCTCACCTGGAGAGCTGATTCATTGATAACAAACCCATGACAAAAGTCACACCGGTCCACAATCAAAAGGCCTCTTTTCCTCATCCTGCTTCACTCGCTCTGCTCTGTGCCGCTGTTGGTCGGGCCTGAAAGCCACAGGAATGAAGCTCAATATCATCACAAGGTGTGAAGAATGCACTGGCAAGAGAGGGGCAGCTGGGTAATTCCACTGGATTAGGGGCTGCGGCAGTGGACCATTGAAAGGAAGGCAAGCGGACAGAGATCCAGACTGAAGCAATGGCTGCTGAAAACTCAGCTTTGCCATTACACAAATAAATTACATTGTTAAAATTTATATAACATTTCTATTTTAATATATTTTAAAATGTTTCACAATATTGTTTCCCCCCCCCTGTAGTTTAGATCATAAGGATGCATTAGACTACTTTCAAAAATATAATTTTTTTTTTATATATATATATATATATCTTACCGACCCCAAACTTTTGCACGGTAATGTAAATGTTTAAGTATAAAATATTTCAATTCAGTAAACACTGCTTCACTTCTCCAATGTAGTTATTCAAGAAAACACTAAAGAAGAGGAGTGTTTTTTTCTTATTATTGACAAAATGATTGAAATTGGCTGATAATTGATACAAGCAAGCATCGTTACTAAGACAGAGTAAAAGCAGACATGGATGAGTTAGAGGACATAAAAGATGCAGGGCTGATCTGTGATCCTAATCTCTCGTTGGGCATCACCTGACCTCTGCGAACCCTGGATTGACCAAGTGTTGACCTGCCGGGGAGATCCTGTGAGCGGAATATGGCAGAGGAGGGCAGGAAGGAAACGGTTTGAGGTCTGCTGTGGCTCCTCTTGGCAGGAGCGCTAAGCCTCTTTAGTGTCTCCACTAATCCTGGACATGAGTATAAACCCCCAGGCGCACTGAGACAATTGAGGAGCAGCCGTGTATTTGTATCAAGTGTGTACTCTATTTCCAATGGATTTAGACTGAAGAGACCATGAGATCAAAATAAGGTCATCTGTCTGTTTTGGTGTGACTAAGGCCCCGTCCACACTACTGCGTTTTAGTTTAAAAACGGAGACCTTTTGCTACGTTTGCACCTCCCGTCCACACTGAAACGGCAAAAACGGAGACCCAAAACGGAGAAGTTTAGAAACGCTGCCGACCCGTTTTTCGTTTTGAATCTCCGGAGGGCGTTTAATGGCGCTTTTCCATTACCAGTACCAGCTCGACTCGACTCGCCTTGGCTCGCTTTTCGCTCCGTTTTCCATTGCAGAAAGTACCGCCACAAATAGTACCCGGTCGTCATAGCGACGCCTTTCGTTCCTCGTTGCCCCATCAAGCTCTCGCTGGATCCTCTCTTCGGCAACCAAACAAAGGAATGTCTGCACCTCCTCGTTTGACCACGGCGTATTCTTCCGAGTTGCCATAATAATAGTAGTAAGTTTAGCAACTATCTCTGGCCAAACTATTTAAAAATGGCGGGGTTATTCTGGATACTCCATCTGGCGCGTGCAATGATGACGCAGATTCTCTGTGACCAATCAGCAGTCGGCATTGTTTTCACGTCACATTTTAGTATCGCCTTAGCTCGCTTAGAACCTCGCCGGAGGTGGTACGAAAAAAAGTACCCGAAAGCAGGTACAGGTACAACTTTTACACAGTGGTAAACCAAACAAAGGCGAGTCGAGTAGAGCCGAGGCGAGCTGCTGTGTAGTGGAAAAGCGCCATTAGTGTAGACGGGTCAAAACGGAGAACTTTAGAAACGATGACGTAGTAGAGGCTCACGCTCGGCTCTATGATTGGGTGTCATCAGTCATGGCGTATATCTTTGCTAGCAGCTGTTGTACAAGTAAATTCTGCATTTTACAACGCTATAACTGCCTACATGCGCCAGAGTCAAGCTATTATTCGAGTGATCTGTGACAATTCCCGTGTGCAGCGTTTCTCATCGCTTGACAAACTTAAGGTTGAGCCACTGTAGTCACTTGGACTAGGCGATTTTAACGATGTCTTTAATAACTTTTCTGGGCTGGCAGATATCAATTACCTAGCAGCCTATGGAGGAGTGATCCAGCTCTCAGATTTCATCAAAAATATCTTAATTCGTGTTCCAAAGATGAACAAGTCTTACGGGTTGGAACAACATGAGGGCGAGTAATTACTGACAGAATTTTCATTTTTGGGTGAACTAACCCTTTAACTAGCATGCTAAGCAGCAGGCAGCTCACTAGGGTTTGGAGCACAGCTAATGTACCAAAAACTCAAAGGTTGATCATTCTTGCACACACTGATTGACAAACACTTCAGGTGGACCGTTGCAGGATTTCTTTTACGGACAAGTGAGACAGTCACAGCTCATACTGGTTGTTAATATGTCCGTCTCATCCATAGACGCCTATGACCAGCTTTGTCTCCATACCGGCGTGATGAATCCGATTTTGAAGCAGAAGGAACTGGATGAAATATTTTGAATGTTCTGATCCACAATCTGACTTGTGATGCAGCCTGAATCACAATCACACTGTGTTTGTTCGTTGGCCAGAAGAGACTGAGCCTGGTTTCTCCCAAGGTTTTTTTCTCCATTCTGTCACCTGATGGAGTTTGGGTTCCTTGCCACTGTCACCTCTGGCTTACTTAGTTGGGGACACTTAATATTCAACAATATGATTGATCTGACTGTACTGACACTGTTGTATGAGAACTGAAATGAGCTGGATGATGACACCACTGTTTTCTGCAGAACTGCTTTATAGCTGAACTGAAATCATTTCATAATTGATAAATAAATAAATGATATATTTAGCATGTGTATATATATCCAATATGATGTACTTTACAGTTATTGAACCTAAATGAAATCAACACTGAGAAACGGGAATAACTTGACAGCAGTCATTATTCAGTTAAAATTAGTTTAATGTAAAGCTGCTTTGAATCAAACTATATTGTATAAAGCGCTATATAAATAAAGGTGACTTGACTAGTTAATTTAACC